GAAAAAGAGGAAGACCCCCAACGAGATGGATCGGCCAGGTGGCATCATTGATGGACTCGGGGGTGGCAGCGGCGGTGAGGTTGGCCCAGGATCGAGCATTGTTTTGTTCTGCTGTGCATGGGGTCGCTATGAGTCGGTCCCGACTCGATGGCACCTGACAACAACAAAGTAATCCAAATTGTTATTCATATAAAATTAGGAGTATAGGTACTGGCAGTTATTAAAGTTTTATGGTACATACAGAAAGATTACAAAAAAATTAAAACTGATACTTTCTAAACTTAACTTGCATATCTAGTTGTTGTTAGGTGCCATTGAGTCAGTACCAACTCATAGCAACCTTAAGCAAAGCAGAATGAAACACTGCCCGATCCTGGGCCAACCTCAGTACTGTTGGTTGCATGCATAGCATGCACAGCAATGAGTCCATCAATGCTGCTAGTGTTCTAGGGTTCTAAAAAGTTACATAAGAACTGATGTTTCCTTTTATCATTTCTAAACTTTGCAGAGTATTAAAAAAACAAAGGAAACTCTAGGTCAATGGTGTGAAAAATAACTTCTTAACAGTGTTTCTTTAAAAGAGAAAGCCTTAATTTAATGCTAAAGCTCACTTGCATACCATTTTGATTTACCTGTTGTTTATGTGAAGTTGATTCTGACTCAGTGACCTTATATGTGCATAAGAGAATGAAATAGTATGCAGTGATCCAATCCTATACCACCCTCACAATCACTGGCATGTTTGAGCCCACTGTTGCAGACACTGGGTCACACTCAACTGTCTTTTAGTTATCTACTTATACTTTAACAGAAATACTATAAGTGGATGGTTTTAGCAAACAAACATTTATTCACTCACAATTTGCTGAGGTTATACTTAGGTTCCTACTCATAATGATTATCTTAGCAAAATTTTACTTACAAGTAATATTAATGATATTATTCAATGATTTCTGCATTCCACTAAACTACTTTTCTTTGGAATGGACACAAATATGGAATTCTTCCAATTGGTTAGACAGGTAGCTGTCTTCCATATATCTTAGCATACATGAGTGAGAGTCTACAGCACTACATCAGTTTGCTGAAACATTTCAATTTGTATTCCATCAATTTCTAGAGCCTTTGGTTTTAGCCAATGCCTTCAGTGCAACTTGAACTTCTTCCTTCAATAGCATTGGTTTTTGGTCATATGTTACTTCTTGAAATGGCTGAGCATCAACCAATTCTTTTTGGAACAGTGACGCTTTCATTCTTTCATTTCTTTTGACGCTTTCATTCAATATTTCGCCTTTCGGATCTTTCATTATTCCAAGCCAAGGCTTGAACTTTTTTTCCAGTTCTTTCAGTTTGAGAAATGCTAAGCATTTTGGTTTTCTAATTCCAGCTCTTTGTATGTATCATTATAATACTTAACTTTATCTTCTCGAGCTACCCTTTGAAATTTTCTGTTCAACTCGTTTACTTCCTAATTTCTTCCAGTCACTTGAGCTCCTCTCAGCTCAAGAAACAGTTTAAGATTCTATTCTAACATTCATTTTTGTCCTTTCTTTCTTTCCTGTCTTCTTAATGACCTTTTATATTCTTCATGAGTGATAATCTTGGTGTCATGCCACAATCCTTGTTTTTGGTCACTGGTGCCTAATTCATCAAGTCTGTTCTTGAGATGGTCTGTAAATTCAAATAGAATATATTCCAGGTAATATTTTGGCTCTGGTGGACTTGTTTTCATTTTCTTCAGCTTCAGTATGAATTTGCATAGAAGCACTTATGGTCTGTTCCACAGTCGTTCCTAGGCTTTGTGTTTTGGCTGATGGTACGGCACATTTCCAAGGTCTCTTCACACAGGTGTAGTCAATTTGATTCTTGTGTTATTCCATCTGGTGAGGTCCACATATACAGTCATCTTTTATGTTGTTGAAAAAGGTATATACAATGCATAAATCATGGGTCTTGTAAAATTCTATCATGAACTCTCCAGCATTGTTTCTATTTCCAAGGATGTATTTCAAACTACTTCCTCTATGTTTCCAACTTCCACAGCCCAATTACTAGTAATTACCAATGCATCTTGATAGGTTTGATCAATTTCAGAATGAAGAAGTTGGTAGAATGTGTCATCATCACTAAGCTTAGTGGCTGGTGTATAAATTCTAATATTAGTCATATTAACTGATTTTCCTGGTCTTCTTGTTGTTGTTAAGTGGCAATGAGTCAGTTGTGAGTCACAGAAACCCTGTATAGAGTGTCTGAGGTGCAGATGGTGGGTTTAAATAGCCAATCTTTTGGTTAGCAGTTCAATGTATGAATATTACCATATCACAGACAACACTACTTCAAGACAGATCTTGAAATACTCTTTTTGACGATGAATGCAACATCATTCCTCTT